TAATTAAATATATTTAATCAATTCAAAAATTAACATGTAACATTTACACATAAATATATACTAAATTTAATAGTTAAATTTTGAAAGTAGTTATTAAAAAAATAATGTTTTTAAAATTAAATGTTTAATTTTTTTAAGAGTTTGAGTGATACATACTATTGTCTTTTAGTATTTTATTTATACTAACAATTTGATGGTTTGAATGGAAGAAATTCCATTTTTTTAAAATAAAATTTTAATTTTAAATCTTATGAACGAAGAAACAGACATTGGGAGAGCTCTTCCTTATGGGATCCGATGCAGTTCAATTTCGAATTAATTGAAATTTAATGAGATTACTGAATACTGAAAAGTTAATAAAAAAATAATATTTTATTTTTGTTTTCATGAGTTTATTATTATTATTTATTTATGTGTGGATAACGAAATAGGGTCAACATTTTGAACAAATTACAGGAAGATGGACTCCTCTAACTGCTAAAATCTACTTTTAACCCTTTATCTTAAGTTTGTAAGTTTTAACTTCTTATTTTATATTATAACAATTTTAACCCTTTACTTTAATAAATTTGTAAATTTTAACCCATCACCTTATATTATGATATTTTTAGCCCATTATATATAAGAATTAAAGAAAATAACCCTTACTTAATATCAAGTTATAATATTCTGTTAATTTTATTAGTTGACTGGTAGTTTTATTAGCTAACTGTTAACGTTCCGTTAGTATTTCGTTAATAGAATTAACAAAACAAATACAATTGAATTTAAAATTCATATTTTCTATAATAAAATACTAACAGATACTAACAGTCAGCTAACATAATTAACAGTTAACTAAGAAAATTAACAGAACATTATAATCTGATGTTAAGTGATGACTATTTTCGTCAATTCATATATGTGAGAGGTTAAAAGTATAATAGTATAAGATGAGGGGTTAAAACTTATAAATTTATTAAAAAAAAGAGTTAAAAATAAGTTTTTACCCTCTTTTAACATTGTCACAACAATTTTTTTTTTTTCAATATTAGAGCTGAAATTAGAACCACACATCCATCAAAGTTAACACGAGAAATTTTTTATAAGGGAAAGATAGGCACTAACATACGAAGATGTTCTAGACTCACGACAATTATTGATTGACTATTCTTTTAGAGCACTTTTTTTTTTTTTTTTGCATCTTTCGGAGCATTGATAAATCTTAAAATTCTCGACATCATGAAAATTTCAAACAGAAAAATAAGGATCAATAAATGATACTGCTAAGAAACATTGCATTTGAAATTTACATAGTAGTCTAAGAGAGAAAAATATACCCCTATTAAATTGTTAGGCTTTGTCAATCAACTTTAGGTTTGATATATATCATGAAAAATCTCTGTAACACATGGTGTGAACATGATTATTCGGATAACCTAAATCCAAAAGGGCTGATAGGGATATATCCGGTCGAGGGCAATTGCAAATTAAAAAGGCCTCTACGTATTAATTTTGGTTTACTCATGTCCTTGCTTTCTCCTTTTGTCTCCTCCACAATTTTTTTCTTGGAATAAAAAGAGAAGAGAGATTATTGCTTTTAGTTTCCTTTTTTTTTTTTTTTCCCCCTTGTGTTATTTATACAAAAACTTCAATTAAAAGCTTTATTGGCCTCACTTTGATAGGAAAACTAGCAGATTAAGGAAAATATAACAATACTATAGTTATAATTTTATATAATATTATATTTAAATTTATAATAATAATATATATTAAATAAATATATATTATGTGTATTTTTTAAATAAAAAATAATTATATAATAATATAATATGATTATAAACTTACAATATCATTTTTTTAATTTTTTTCATTTAACTAATTTTATCTACATATAAATTTTTTATTAAATAATTAATTATAATATTTAAAAATATTAACCCTTATAAATTAGTTTCAAGCTTATCTCAAATATTCTATAGATTTTTTCCACTAAAAAAATATTCTATAGATTTTCGGCCGATTTTATCACTCGTACATGTGTGTCACCATCAATCTAATAAAAGCCTATTAACATTTTCGTAAGGGTAAGGGGAACAGACACGACTCTTTGATGAGGTTATGATGACAAATACTGACGTAGGTCAAATGCTCATTAATAAAACTTTAAAGAAAACAAAAATGTCTCAATATTGTAATTAATTGTTGATAACAAAAATTATGTACTTAATTTGTCTGAATCCAATATATACAGCCAAAAAGAAAATGAAATATTTATGCAGTGATTTAAATTATGCACCTGTACGTCCGAACATAATCTGATTACCACTGATTTCCCCCAAAAAATACAAAAAAGAAAGGCAAAAAACCTTCTTAAATCCCCAAATTTATTCCAAAATAACATTTAAACTCTAAACTAAAAATGAAATAAATAAGTTTTTTAACTTTATTAATGATGCAAATAAATTTTTTTTATTCATGAGTATTCATGCTTTTATGATGATATTAAATATGAAATATCATTTGACCCTTTTATAAGAAGAATTTATTTATATCATTAGTAGAATTAAAAATTTATTTATTTTGTTTTAGTTTATGAACTTAAATGATATTTTGAGATAAGTTTAGGGACTTAAAGAAAGATTTTTGCTAGAAAAAAGAAAAAAAAAAGATTAATTATGTGTGAGAGAGAACGAGTATGACTTCGCCATCACAGATGGATGGGGGAAATAAATAATTCAGTGATGGTTAATGGGGACAGCGTACAGCGTTTAGGTGAGGAATGGTGACTGATTTCGAATTTTTAAAAGACTTGGAACTGTTGGTACACATGGGGATCGAAAACAGCAATAACCTACCCTTGTCGCCTTGTGTGTTGATTTTTTTTTTTTTTTAATTTCATTCAAGGTATCT